TATTATATGTTTAACAAGTTATAAATTGTCTCAGAAAAGCCAAATGAATAAACTTTTTACACCACCCCCCCTAAAATTGTAACACATCAATTCTGAACAATTAATAACAGAATTTTAATACAGCTCATAATGAATTAATTCACTCTGACACAAACCCAGTTCATTATAAGTTTTTAAATTTTTTTCTGAGCGGGGGCTATGACATGACATATCATGTCTTGTTGTGCTAAAAAATCATCAAATATCAAGCATTTATGGATGGATTTCATTCAAACTTGGTACATACATTAGACATTATGGGTTCCTGATGCAAGTCATTTTATTTTTCAGATCGGATTCAAAATGGCTGTCTGGCGGTCATTTTGTTTTAATGAATGGGCTTCTAGAACCATATCTCTAACTTTTTTTGACTGATTATGTTCAAATTTTTAATATTCATTATACATCATGTCATAGATATACGGATATATTTGTTTGACGATCCTTTTCAAAGTGGCCAAATGGTGGCTATTTTTGTGCTAAAAAATCCTCAAATATCAAGCATTTCTTGCATTTATGGATGGATTTTGTTCAAACCCATAACCTACATTAGACATTACAAGTTCCTGATGCACGTCATTTTATTTTTCAGATTGGATTCAAAATGGCTGACTGGCGGCTATTTTGTTTTAATGATTGGGCTTCTAGAGCCTTTTCTATTAAATGCTTTGACTGATTATATTCAAATTTTATATATTCGACATACATCATGTTATATATATATATATATATATATGTATTCAAAATGGCTGATTTTGAATGCTGTTCCAGAGCAATATCTCTCAATATGGACAAGTACTTGTTTGACGATCAGATACAAATGTCAATCATTTTAATGTTAAATGACATGTTTAATGACATGGTTATATTCCAGCTATATTACTATAAACAAAACTATATATCTTAAATTTGATAACTAACGGGGACTGTGCCATGCATGGCTTGTAATTTAATGGTGTGGATATTTCCGTGCTGTGTTTCTATTTCTACAGTCAAGAAGGCTGGAGGTTGGAACATGAAGACGTGACAGATCCCACATCACCAGTTATATTTAAAGGTGTTGTCTTCAATGAAATGAAAGGTGCTTTGGTAAGATTCAATACTGTAAAATACTTTATTTTAGCTGGAATTAATTTTCACTAAAAAAACATTTTGGGTGTTTTGTATAGAATTTGTTTTCACTGATTGCATGTAAAACAGACAAAAACAAGTATATTTGCTGGATTTTATAATCATCCCTGTCAGTGAAAATAGCGGAAATGAATTCCAAGTGAAAATAAAGAATTTGTCTGTATTGTTTTTCCTAATTATATGCAATTGCTGACTTATGCAGCAACTTGTCAGACAAAGAGAGCATAACATTATAAACAATGACATTAATTTTTCAGATTCATTTAACAAATTGAAAGTTGGTTTGAGCTCAATCTGATTAAAATAAGATTCTAGTTTTTATTCTTTTTTAGCTCCGCTGTTGACTTTGTCGAGCGGAGCTTATCATATGAGTAATTGTCCGGCGTCGTCCGGCGTCGTCGTCCGTGTCAATGTTTTACTATTTCGACTTCTTCTTGAAAAATACAAGCCTGAATGCTTTGATACTTGGTGTATATGTACCTTGGGTAGACCTCTCTCAGATTTGTTCATTTCATGATGATATCTTCAATTCTCTAATTTTGGTGAATATTTTTGTCATTTTTGGTAAAAAGTGATATTTTCAACTTCTTGTTAAAAACCGCAAGTCCAATTGCTTTGATATTAAATATATAGGTACCACATGTAGACCTCTCTCACATTTGTTGATTTTGTAATGATATCTTCAATTCTCTAATTTTGATGAATATTTTTGTCATTTTTGGTAAAA